TATAAAACCTGTCTAAAAACTGTATTATTGAATCTCCTTTTTCTTCTTGTTTTATTATTAATGTTTTTGTTTTATGTCACATCTATTTGTTTCTTTCTGTGCTTTGTTATGCTAATGCCAGACATTTTGTGTAAAAATAATGTAGAAATAATTTGAACCCTAGGATAATGCTATATAATGTTATTTCAGTCTAGAGGATTCATATTTACTTCTGGCTGGTTACCATGCCCACTAAAGGCCTCAAGTCATGAGGCTAAGAAAAGTAGTGTAGAAGAGAAGTCATGACATTGATGAAGGGAATAAATTAAAATACTTTGGGAAAAAAGGACATATCTTTTGACAACTTTTATAACGAAAAGACATGTTGCTGAATTGGATGGGGTGGAAAGATTTAAATAATTGAGGACAATGTCTAGTTTTAAAATTGACCAACTGTACAAGAAGAGTTACATTTAGTAAGATGAAAATATTAAGGCAGTTATCAAGAATTCCTTTCTGGCCATGTGATTTTTGCTGTGCCTTTTAGACATATAAGCAGAGATACCTAGTAGACTGTTTGATATCTCAATGTGGAGATCAGTAGAGAGGCAAGGGATGGAGAGGTACTGTGGAGTTTCCAATGTATATATATATAGTTTTTAAAGCCAATTACTGAATAAAATATCTTTAAAAAGAATATAGTTATAGAAGAGAAATTAAAGCAGAAGTAAGACGTGGGTATTCATGACAACATTTAGAAGTCAGGCCGTAGACGAAGACCCAACAAATATTAAAAAGAAAGATCATGTAGTGAGATGGGAGGAAACAAAAACATGTAAGGATAGTTTCAAAAAAAATGCACATGAGGACAAGTATTTTCAAATGAGGGAATGGTCAGTTTCACATGCTGCTGAGAGTTATCATATGAGGGCAGAGTTTTTTGGGCTGGGTGATGAGAGATCATTAACTTGACTAGAGGTGTTGCAGCTTCAGCAAGGTACTGGGGAGAATGCCAGTCTATAGAGATGAGGTGAGGTGAGGAAAGAGAGATTATACTCCTTACTGTTCTCTCATGGACTTTTTTCATCTATTTTTAGAGAATTCCAATGGATCCATAATTCTTGGGGGATGATATTTTTCATTCACTTGTTTTCAAGCCTTGTCACCAGAAACACGTACACATTCCTAGATCCAAGTTCTAGGATTTCAACTCTCACAATAGGAATTTCCACTTTTGTTTCACTTTGTCGTAGGATCCTGGGCTCAGTGTCTGATACTGACACTTTCCGCTTTACACTTCCACTTCATTTGGTGCTCAAGTTCTCTTGGCAGGAATGTTTCAATCTGCCAACACAGTTGGTTAGCAACCATAAAGTTAGAATACTGTCCCTCTGTGTCAAAGTGCCAAAATGCACCTAATTCTCTGATTATCTTCCTTCTCCTCCCTAATAACTGGGTTCCGACAACTGCCTAAGGTAGCACTCTGGACACCGAGATTCTTGCAACTCTCCCCATTCACTTCCCTCTGTGCCCAGCAAAAGCTTTTCCTTTCGAAGGACCTGCCTCCTCAGTTTTCTTTTAGGCCTATCTTTTTGGGAAAAAAATGCAGATGAAGAGTGAAACCCAGTACAAAGTGAAGGTGCTTGGCCCTTTGCTAAAAATACAGGGAAGAACACGGCTTTTATTTTTCTTCCATGGTCTCTCTTTTAACCAATGATAGTATTTTCCATTTTCTCTTTTATCTTGCTCTCTTTGGGGCATGGGAAAATCCTATGGGCAAGTGCAAACATGCACAGGAGCATAGGGTCACTGTCCTGTGAATTGGAGCACTGGTTGCAGGTGTGGATAAGATCAGGGTCAGGAGCATGCCAAGGGCAAAAGGCAGCAGCAATCTCTGAGCAACGGTAGGGTAGCAAGTAGCCAAGCAATCATCCTGGGAATATGTGGAGGGTACAGCAGGTGAGAATGTATGAGTCAGGCTCCAAGTCCCAGCACCTGCCCCATTTTCATATAAGATTTCAATTACAGAACATAAACGTGAAGATAAAGTTGTTTAAAAATTAAAGATGGCATTAAACCCTAAGTATGACAGAGATTAAGCCCCAAGTGTAGGACCCCCTTTTGAAGGCAGAGTCCTGAGTACTGCAGTGGTCACACACCCATGAAGAGCCTAATGGCATTAACTAAGCCTCTACAGGTCTAACTTTTGAGATATATTGGTTCATTACCAGGAAAGAAAGAAAGCAAAAGGACTGTGTGGGGACCATACCTACACCAATCAAGTTTTTATTTTTCATAGAATAAGTAGATCAACGTGAAACGCCTAAGACACAATATTAGCATCTGCATAAAGTTAATGATTTACAGGGCTTACAGGGTTCCGTTACAAAATTTTATGTTAATTTTGCCTTTTGGATGTAACTCAAAATTTAATCCCAGTGTTATCAATAAAAAGAATTCAAAGAGTACATGATTACATTTGAGATTAACTATGTGTGAGAAGTAGGTTGGTGCAGGAAAACAGAGGGTGCAAAAAAACTAAATGGGAAACAAAATTCTGAGGTAAAATTATCTGACCGATGTCACTTATCTAAGCAGATTGATAGAGCTACAAGTAGAATAGCAGTGATCTGACTTGAGAGCCCGGCTCTTGAACACGAAGTTCTACTGCCCCCCATAGTGATGATCTGGGACGGTGAGAGAATGAGCTGTATCAGTCACCATGTGCTCTGACACAGCGAGGAACTAGAAGGTTAATGGATACTTGCAAAGTGACCAAGAATCCTTACTTTTTCCTGCCTTCATTTCCTTACAAGTCATTGCTTTATTATCATGACTTAGGACCAGATTAGAAACTAGAATCCTCAGAGACTTTGTGTTTTTTACAAAACTGGCTCTAAGGGATTTTGTGTTGAAAGCTCCAACCAGGCAAAGAGCAGCACCCTCATAAAGACTGAGCCAGTTGAGACAAAGCAGACAGAATCCCATCCTGATGCTCGGTCTGGTGAGCGTCCAGCTCACAGGTCATCCTTACTTCGCAGTGAGGGGACAGGAGGGGTAGGAAAAGAAGAGACGTGAGATAAGTGTAGGGGAAAGAAGACTAAGGCTGAAGCTTAGAGAATAAGTAGGATCATGACCAGAAAGGGCCATAAAATTTCAGTAAAATGATACGGATTTTAGCCTGAATCCATTCAATGTGCATTTTAGAAAAATCAGCCTGCTCAGTATCTAAAGAATGAGGAACAACTAGTCATCGGAACATGGATCAAAGTGTATTCTTAATTTAAGGTTTTGGGGCACCTGGATGGCTGAGTCAGTTAATTGTCCAACTCTTGATCTCAGCTCAAGTCTTAATCTCAGGGTCATGAGTTCAAGCTGCACGTTGAGCTTCATGTCCAGCTTTGAGCCTACTTAAAAAAATAAATAAATATATATAAATAATTAAGGATTTAATTTTTTTAAAGATTTTGTTTATTTATTTGAGAGAGAGAGAGAGCACACACAAGCAAGGGGAGGGTCAGAGGGAGAGGGAGAAGCAGGCTCTTCACTGAGCAGGGAGCCTGATGCGGGGCTTTGATCCCAGGACCCTGAGATCATGACCTGAGCCAAAGGCAGATGCTCAACAGACTGCCACCTAGGCTCCCCAAGAATTTAATTTTTAAAGGTTTATTTGCACTTATTATTTCTATTTTCTGGATGAAGGAACTGAAGTATAGCGATGTGACAGTTCTGCAAGCTCACACAGCTAATGTGTAATACTTTATTTACTTTCCTTCAACTCTATAGGGAATAAGTCATGAACCTGGGTTTCAGCACAATTAGTCTGACTGCAGAGGTCATGTTAAACACTAGAGAGCAATGTGCCTTAGTCAACCCAAGAGATGATGACTGGGACTATCCCAATGAGGATGGACACAACTGTATGGATTTTCATGATAATTTTAGGAATAGAATCAAGAGGACTTTTTTAATAGGTAGAGAAAAGAAAAGGATGATGCTCCTATTTCTGAACCAGTCCACTGGTTACATGATAATGACATTTACTGAGATGAGACAGTAGCAAAAGTAAGATTAAGTTAAAGCTGGAGTTTGGTAGAGGCAGGGTTGAGGATTCAATTTTAGAAATATTTTATTTGTAATATTTTGGCAAAAGAAAAGTTAAACCAATTGCCCGAGGAATTTGGTTTGAGAATCTGAATGTGATACAGTTTGGAGGGTTGGGGACTTTTATTTAGTATTCTTCATTATAAAGATAGGTATTAAAGGGGCGCCTGGGTGGCTCAATCAGTTAAGCGACTGCCTTCGGCTCAGGTCACGATTCCAGAGTCCTGGGATCGAGCCCCGCATTGGTCTCCCTGCTCAGTGGGGAGTCTGCTTCTCCCTCTGCCTGCTCTCTTGCTTGTGTTCTCTCTCTCTGTGTCAAACAAATAAAATCTTAAAAAAAAAAAAAAGCTAAAGTTCCAGTAAGCTCCTTAAACTCTTGATCATTAGATAAGTCATACATGAAACAAGCAAAATTAATGTTCTTCTTGAAGGGTTTTTTTATTTAAATACTGGAGATGCTTTTTGAATAAAAGCCTTGTCGATAATAGGCAGGACTTCAATAATTGGTATTTGATGTTATTGTTTTCACTATTATTCCCAATCGTATTTTGTAATAATAATTACTAAATACTAACAGATTGACCAATTTAAAGTAATTTTTAATATTTTTGCATAAATTTTGATGAATCTGTGTGTTTATTGTATAGTTATTATTCATCCTGTGTGCTAAACCCCGAGTGTTGTCAATCAACTGGAATTAATTTCCATCACTATATTTAGAAGCTAGCAGAATCTTAAGTTGGTCAGAAATGAAGAGGGGTTCTGTTGGTGATAATTGTGATAATGAGAAAAAATAGCTAATTAAGCTATTTTTTTTATCTCTATTATCTTTAGGTCTCTAGCAGTAAAGAGACTATCTGGTTACCTGTAGATTGGGTCAGTATACATTTCTGAAGACTTATGCATTACCAAATAAGATGTTCCTTCCCAATGACACCCAATTCCACCTCTTCTCCTTCTTGTTGCTGGGGATCCCAGGAATGGAAACGCTGCACGTCTGGATTGGCTTGCCCTTTTGTACTGTGTACATGATTGCACTCATAGGGAACTTCACAGTTCTGTTCGTGATCCAGGCTGAGAGCCGCCTACACCAACCTATGTTCTACTTCTTGGCCATGTTGGCTACTATTGATTTGGGTCTGTCCACAGCTACCATTCCCCAGATGCTCGGGATCTTCTGGTTCAACCTCAGAGAGATCATCTTTGAAGCCTGCCTTGTGCAGATGTTTTTCATTCACAGCTTCACACTTATGGAATCAGCAGTCCTGTTGGCAATGGCTTATGACCGCTACGTGGCCATCTGCAGCCCACTCCGATATAGCACCACCCTCACCAACAAGGTTGTTTTTGTGATTGGTGTTGCTGTGTTAGTGAGGGCATTTATTTTTGTGATTCCATTTGTATTTCTTATTTTGCGATTGCCCTTCTGTGGGAATCATGTCATTCCCCATACATATTGTGAACACATGGGTCTTGCTCGCCTCTCTTGTGCCAGCATCAAGATCAATATTATTTATGGCTTATGTGCAATTTGTAATCTAGTCTTTGACATCATAGCCATTGCCCTGTCTTATGTTCAGATACTCCGTGCTGTTTTCCGTCTTCCCTCCCATGAAGCCCGACTCAAGTCCCTCAGCACATGTGGTTCTCATGTTTGTGTCATCCTTGCCTTCTATACACCGGCCCTCTTTTCCTTTATGACACATCGCTTCGGCCAAAATGTCCCCCGCTATATCCACATACTCCTGGCCAATCTTTATGTTGTCGTGCCACCAATGCTCAATCCTGTCATATACGGAGTCAGGACCAAGCAGATCTATGACCGTGTGAAGAAAATACTATTATAGAAACAAGGAAAGGAAAAAGAATGACACCTAATGCATGTGCAGTTCAATATGAAATTTTATGAAACTTAGAGAGATGTCTTCTCACAGAAATTATGTTAAAATATGTATCTATATCATCTCTACTCTGTAAGTATTTAAATGCATTTAATTTCCACGTGCTTTTTAGACCACTTCCCAATATTCATTGTTTCATCTTCTTTGTCCCTTAAAATTTGATTTAGTAAGCCATGTCATTTTTCTCTATTCATCTAAATATCCGATTGATATTTATATATCAAAAGTTTTGAATGCATCCACTGCCACTAGATTAGTTGATATTTCATGTAGCTTTTTTTCCATGGAAGAATAAACATGAAAATGTCTATGCTGCCCAGAGCAATCTACACTTTCAATGCAATCCCTATCAAAATACCATTATTTTTCACAGAGCTGGACCAAACAATCCTAAAATTTGTATGGAACCAGAAAAGACCCTGAATCACCATGGGAATGTTGAAAAAGAAAACCAAAGCTGGGGGCATCACAGTGCCTATCTTCAAGCTATATTACAAAGCTGTGATCATCAAGACTACATGATTTTAGCATAAAAACTGACACAGAGATCAATAGAACAAAACAGAGAGCCCAGAAATGGACCCTGAACTCTATGGTCAACTAATCTTCAACAAAGCAGGAAAGAACATCCAATGGAAAAAAGACAGTCTCTTCAACAAAAGCATTTATACTTAAACTAGTCTGACAACTTTCATATTTTAAATACACTACAAATTTCATGCACATTTAACATAATTATTATTTTTCTTAATTAAATTTCATTTACTTTTTTAATTTTTTAAAATTTCATTTACTTCATTTCTTTTACTTCAACCCAAGATACATATATTTCACAACAAAGATTTTCTTCTTTAGAATTTTTTAATCATGACTGGGTAAGTCTCATTTGCTTTGCTTTGTTTTCATACATAATTTTAGTTACTTTTGCCATTGTCCTACAGATGCCCCTGCAACTTATCAAATTTTAGTATAAACTAGCAGTCTTGCTGCTTTCTATTCATAATGGATAAAAAATTTTAGTCCCTTTTTCTACTTTCTGACTTATATAATATTGTTGGTTTAATTTACTTCTTATAAACTTACGCATATAGAGTTATTGTTTTGGAAAGTCAATATTCATTTAAATGTTTCCAAATATTTGCTATTTCTGTTGGTATTCATTCTGTCTTGCATCTTTAAAATTTCATCTGTAATGATTTTACTCATGTCTAAAGAAATAAACTTAAATATTACCTAATGCAATTTTTCTGGTAGTGAGTTTCCTTTGCCTAGAAAATAACCCTTTGTTTCATCTTCATTTTAAGGTCATTTAGAGGATATAGTATTGTAAATTAACTGGGGATCTCCTAGCTTTATGGAAATATGATTGACAAATAAAAACTCTATATTTAGCTTGCACAATGTGATTTTTAAAGGTGTACACGTTATGATTTTATATATATGAAATGATTACACAGTCAAGTTATTTAACACATCCATCACCTCAAATAGTTACTACCTTTTGTTTTTTGTGGTGAGAAAACTTAAGATTTACTTTAGTAAATTTTAAGAATACAATACAGTATTATTAACTATAATTGTCATGCTGTACATTAGATCCCCAGCACTTGTTCATCATAACTGAAAGATTGTACCCATTATGAATATTTCTCCTCTTTCCCCCACTCCCTAGCCACCGTTCTACTCTCTGGTTCTATGAAATTGACTTTTTTAGATTCCATATAAAAATTAGATCATGTAGTGTTTGTCTTTGTGTCTGGCTTACTTCACTTAGCATACCTCTTGGAAAGTTTTCCTTCTTTTTAAGTCTAAGTAATATTTCTTTTCTTTCTGCCCGTGGACGCCGCGGAGTAAGCATTGTTAAAGTCTCCCCTCCCACCACCTTCATGTCTAAGTCAGAGTCTCCCAAAGAGTCTGAGCAGCTGCGGAAGCTTTTCATTGGAGGTTTGAGCTTTGAAACAACTGATGCGAGCCTGAGGAGACATTTTGAGCAATGGGGAACGCCTACGTACCGTGTGGTAATGAGAGATCCAAACACCAAGTGCTCCAGAGACTTTGGGTTTGTCGCGTATACCACCGTGGAGGAGGTGGATGCAGCCATGAATGCAAGGCCACACAAGGTGGATGGAAGAGTTGTGGAACCAAAGAGGGCTGTCTCAAGAGAAGATTCTCAAAGACCTGGTGCCCACTTAACTGTGAAAAAGATTTTTGTTGGTGGCATTAAAGAAGACACTCAAGAACATCATCTAAGAGATTATTTTGAACAGTATGGGAGAACTGAAGTGATCGAAATTATGACTGACTGAGGCAGTGGCAAAAAGAGAGGATTTGCTTTTGTAACATTTGATGACCATGACTCTGTAGACAAGATTGTCATTCAAAAATACCATACTGTGAACGGCCACAACTGTGAAGTAAGGAAAGCCCTATCTAAGCAAGAGATGGCTAGTGCTTCATCCAGCCAAAGAGGTCGAAGTGGTTCTGGAAACTTTGGTGGTGGTCATGGAGGTGGTTTTGGTGGGAACGACAACTTTGGTTGTGGAGGGAACTTCAGTGGTTGAGGTGGCTTCGGTGGCAGTCAAGGTGGTGGTGGATATGGTGGCAGTGGGGATGGCTATAACGGATTTGGTAATGATGGAATCAACTTTGGAGGTGGCAGAAGCTATAATGATTTTGACAATTACAACAATCAATCCTCAAATTTTGGACCCATGAAAGGGGGAAATTTTGAAGGCAGAAGCTCTGGCCTCTATGGTGGTGGAGGCCAATACTTTGCCAAACCATGAAACCAAGGTGGCTATGTTGGTTCCAGCAGCAGCAGTAGCTACGGCAGTGGCAGAAGGTTTTAATTACTGCCAGGAAACAAAGCTTAGCAGGAGAGGAGAGCCAGAGAAGTGACAGGGAAGTTACAACAGATTTGTGAACTCGGCCAAGCATAGTGGTGGCAGGGCCCAGCTGCTACAAAGAAGACATGTTTTAGACAATACTCATGTGTATGGGCAAAAAACTCGAGGACTGTATTTGTGACCAATTGTATAACAAGTTATTTTAGTTTCTGTTCTGTGGAAAGTGTAAAGCATTCCAACAAAGGGTTTTAATGTAGATATTTTTTTTTTTTGCACCCATGCTGTTGATTGCTAAATGTAATAGTCTGATCATGATGCTGAATAAATGTGTCTTAAAAAAAAAAAAAGACTAAGTAGTATTCAATGGTTTACATATACAACATTTTCTTTATCTATTCATTTGACTTAGGTTGTCTCCTTATCTGGGCTACCATGACTAATGATCCAGTGAACACAGGAGTGTACATATTTCTTTGAGCTACTCATCTTATTCCTTAGGATATTTACCAAGAAATGGAGTTGCAGGATCATTTCTCTTTTTTTGAAGAAACTTCATACTTTTCTCTATAATGCCTGTACCAAAGCTATTCTAGTAAAGAGATTAAGTCTGATTTTTTTTCAGAATAGTAAAAATAGTATTTAATTCTTAACTGACTTTTATATTGTCTTTAAGAACTTTATATCTGACCACACTGTCTTTTCTTTTTTGGTTTCTGAATTTTCTTGTTTATATCTCCTTTTATTTTCCCTTTATCTCTGATCAATTGAAATTTTAATGCATTTGGTGTGATGTAATTTTATATTATAGGTGGGTATGTACTTCAAACTTTTGATGTAAATATTTATAAATATTTTTGTAAGTAGAAAGTTATCATCCATATTTTTAACCTTAACCTTCAGTTTGTTCTCTATCATTAAGAGTCTCTTATGGTTTGCTTTCCTCTCTTTTTTTTTTTCCCTTCCCATATGTCCATCTGTTTTGTTTCTTAAATTCCACATATGAGTGAAACATATGGTATTTGTCTTCTCTGACTGACTTATTTAGCTTAGCATAATACACTCTAGCTCCATCCACATCATTGCAAATGACGAGATTTCACTCTTTTTGATGGCTAAGTAACATTCTGTTGTATATATATACCACCTCTTTTTTATCCATTCATCAGTCGAGGGACATTTGTACTCTTTCCATAATTTGGCTATTGTTGATAATGCTTCTATAAACATCAGGCTGCATGTACTCCTCGGGAATCAGTATTTTTGTATCCTTTGGGTAAATACCAAGTAGTGCAATTGCTGGGTCGTGGGGTAGTTCCCATTTCTCTGATCCTCACCAACATCTGCCATTTTCTGGGTTGCTAATTTCAGCCTGTCTGACCGTTGTGAGGTGGTATTTCATGATGGTTTTGATTTGTATTTCTATGATGATAAGTGACGTTGAGCATCTTTTCATATGTCTGTTAGCCAACTGAATATCTTCTTTGAAAAATGTCTGTTCATGTCTTCTGCCCATTTCTTAACTGGATTATTTGTGTTTTGGGTGTTGAGTTTGATAGGTTCTTTATAGATTTTGGATACTAACCCTTTATCATTGATGTCATTTGCAAATATCTTCTCCCATTCCAAAGGTTGCCTTTTAATTTTGTTGATTGTTTCCTTCACTGTGCAAAAGATTTTTATCTTGATGAAGTCCCCAACAGTTCATTTTTGCTTTTGTTTTCCATGCCTCTGGAGATGTGACTAGTAAGAAGTTGCTCTGGCCAAGGTCAAAGAGGTCACTGCCTGTGTTCTCCTCTAGGATTTTGATGGTTTCTTGTCTCACATTCAATTATTTCATCCATTTTGAATTTATTTCTGTGTATGGGGCAAGAAAGTATCATTCTTATCATGTCGCTATCCAATTTTTCCCAAACCATTTGTTGAAGAGACTGTCTTTTTTCCACTGGATATTCTTTCTGCTTTGTTGAAGAGTACTTAACCATATAGTTATGGGTCCTTTTCTGGGTCCTCTATTCTGTTCCATTGATCTATGTGTCTGTTTTTGTGCTACTACCATACTGTCTTGATGACTACAGCTTGGTAATACAGCTTGAATTTCAGAATTGTGATGCCTCCAGCTTTGCTTTTCTTTTTCAATGCATTGTCTTGATGATAAATGATCACATGTCC